GCACATCCAAAGTGTCTCAACGCTACCAGACCGAGTCGGATAGCACCCGAGGGACGGGACCTTCGTATACCCGAGACGCATCCCTCAGAGCCACTTCGATCCAGGGTCACGACGGAAGGCCGTTCAGCATTTAAGAGTCCCCGAGGACATCGATCCAGGGAGTCTGACGGGTAACACAGACTGGCTGGGGATATACATCCAGCGGAAAGCCTGAAGGCGAATCCAAGTCGCGACGCAAGAAGCGCATCCAGGGTGTGGAGCATGATAGCAGGATAACCTTCCACAACTGAGATGCGTCAGCCCAGATCCATCGAGTGGAAGGGCGTCGTAGTGCACGATACGCGGTCGACCACGTGGGGTGTGCACATCCAGAGTGCCTCAGCGCTACCCAAACGAGTCGGATAGCACCCGAGGGACGGGACCTTCGTATACCCGAGACGCATCCCTCAGAGCCACTTCGATCCAGGGTCACGACGGAAGGCCGTTCAGCATTTAAGAGTCCCCGAGGACATCGATCCAGGGAGTCTGACGGGTAACACAGACTGACTGGGGACATAAGTCCAGCGGAAAAACCTGACGGCGGATCCAAGTCGCGACGCAAGAAAGGCATCCAGGGTGTGGAGCATGATAGCAGGAAAACCTTCCACAACTGAGATGCGTCAGCCCAGATCCATCGAGTGGAAGGGCACGATACACGGTCGACCACGTGGCGTGTGCACATCCAAAGGTTAGTGGGCAAACGCGAAGCGTCTAGATCTCCGAGGTACGCAGAACGCGCAAAGACGGCCCTGAGCCCGCCAAGAGACATCCGAAGAGACACCGGGAGGCATCGCATTCAAGAGGCTTCTGGCTCTTCTGTCCCGTCGCGCGGACCCCGGAGATGGACGCAAGAGGGCCTCCAGAGCCCCCACCCCTGCAGCAGCACCCCAGCAGCAGCAGCACCAGCAGCAGCGGCACAAGCACCACCATCAACAGCAACACCCCGTCCTCGTCCTAATCTTCGCCCTCGTCCTCGTCTGCCTCCTCCTCCCCTTATTATTATTCCTCCTCCTCCTCCTCCTGCTCCCCATCGTCATCTTCGTTCTCATTCTCTTCCGCGTCCTCGTTATCCTCCTCGTCCTCGGAAATCCTCCTAGTCCTCGTTTTCCGTGCAAGGCTACCCCCTAGCTCGGTTTGCTTTTCTAGATGTGTCTCTTCGTCCCGTTTCCCGTCAGCTCTGAATGGCAGGGTTTCTGAATGGGCTGGTGGGGATCCTTTTCTGTTCGCGAGCGTCGCGGTCCAACCGCGCGCCGTCCAGAGCAACGAAATGTGAAGAATAGTGGCCAGACGGATGAGTGGTAACTGTACGTCATACGCTGAAATGATGTGTATATGTAAAGCTGCAGCTGCAGTGTCTGTGAGCAGTGCCTCTGCTGGGGTGAAGCCCCAAGAGGCCCCCAAGATGGCAAGAGAGGCCCCCAAGAGAGACCCAACAGGAGCTCAAGAGGAGGATGTCGCTCTTGCAGTGGGTGACATTCCCTCCAGGGTGGTCTTCAAGATCCACAAACATAACCTCCGAGAGGCCCCGAAGAGAACCCAGAAGCCGCCCATTACGCACTCGAGGGACCCCAGGAGGCTCCTCAGAGGAGAGAAAAGAAGAGGGGCAAGAGAAATAGGCGGAGTCGCGAGGACGGAGGCGAAAACTAAGCTGCGGTCAAAAAGAGCACATTCAAGACCCGCGCTAATTCAGACCGAGCGTTGAACTGCCGTGAGTCTCAAACTCGCCATCCTTTCTGCTGCGCTGCTGCGCTGGCAGGCGGCGCGATTTGCAGCTCGCAGCTGGAAAGTTGTTGGGCAAGAGATGTGGTCTAGGTGGCGGTGGTCTCTGTTTACCCTCTGAAGAAAGGTAGTCTATGTAGTGCGAACTATACAAGACAAACTCTGGGGTACAAACGATGGCATGTGGTGCGATCTGAATGGTGAAACCTAGGCGAAGCAGCGTATGTTGTGCAATCCACGCCGTGGAAAAAGGTGGGTTGTAAACTCTGGAGGAACAATATCTGTTATATATATGGGGGCGATTCCGGAAACCCTGAACCCAAAAACGTTTTCATCTCTCGAAGGCGTATTTTCGGTTTGCGCCAACTTCCGCTGGCCTTTCGCCAGCTGCCGCCGGCGGAGCCGGCCTCGCTTTACGTCCGCCGACCTTCCGCAGCCGTTCCCCCGCGGAAGAAGTGGCAATCCCTTCGATCCTCGAAGGCGAAGCCCTTTCTAGAACGCCCCGTGTGTGTATATATTTATATATATACACACCACATATATGCGGTGTAGCCTGTGTGGCGAGATCTGCATGTGCATCAGTAGCCGCACGCCCAAAAACCCAGAGAGCTAAAGGGGCCCTGGGACACACAAACAGATACACACAATTAAAAGAATTCCCCATATTTTCGTATATCTTCTGGTTTTTGTCTTCCCCCCCCCCTTCCCATATTTCCATATTTTCTGTAAAATCGACGATTAGTTGTGTCTGTGTGTTTTTTCCCCTCCTGGAGAGCGCCCGAGCGCACGGGACGACCAAGAGGCGCCCACGGGCGCCTAAAACCCCAGGCAGCACACACACGATCACAAAGACCCCGCCCGGAACGCCAGGCACGGCATCCCCCGGCAGGTTTGGATCCACCACGCCTTTCGGCCGCCGCCCGGATCCACACCCACGGCGTCGCGGCCGAGGCTCCCCCCGGCCGCGGCCCCGCGGAGGCAGGGCGGCGCTGCGCGGACGCCCCGCGCAACGGGGAAGAGCAGACGGCAGACGCACGAGGACACCGAGAGGCTTTTTCTCGAAAGCTGGGCGAGGGCTGCTGAACCCGTGGCTGCTGAAACGGCCCTCCCGGAAGGAAAAAACAACTTCCCGGACTGAGGCGCGGCACGCGAAACAGTCAACGGGCTTCTTCCCGGAAGGACGAAGACGACTTCCCGGAGGTCGATTTTAGCAGACACGGATTTAGCAGCCCTTGCCCGGCTTCCGATTTTCGTCATCGCAGAGGCGGTCCGCTCCAACGCGTGGCAATTCGGGTCAATCGAGAGTGGCTAATCAGCCAGCACGCGGAGAGAGGGTAGAAGACGGGGGCGGCCGCGCAACACTCAGACGTGGAAGAGTTCCGCGTCGAGCAGACAGCGGACACGCGAAGACATCGAGACGCATGCAATGCTCAAATTCACACTGGCTACCTTTGGCGTGCGTCCCGGGTAAAGGATCAAGCAGCGTCCGGGCGAAATGAAGCTGAAAGTCGGACGGCCAGACTTGCAGCTACGCGTGCCAAGTTGAAGCGAAGCTGCGCACCCACAACCACACACGCACACAAACACACACACACAAACACGCACTCACACATATATATACTTCAAACACCTGACAGATGCCGCACAACAAACATATGCTGAAGAAAATCTGGATAACCGCTCGGACAAAAATGCTGGCCAACAACTGGAGCGGAGCCTGAGCCAACGGCCGTCAAGTGCTCAGCTGGAGCGAACACGAAACATGGTTCAAGGCAATTTGGATCGGGCACGGGCCCGAGAATCTCTAATGCCTTGCCGGACTTCGCCGCGAAGCCCAAGAGGTCCCGGCGATGCCCAGGACTGGGGCACCCCGGGGCTCCCCGGACAACGCATGGCACAAATGCGGCAACAAGTCAACGCGGCGATCGCAGGACCTTGGAAAATCGTGGCACGGGCCAGGGACGTGCCAGGATCGGGCGCCCGGCCCTCGAGAGCCATCCCAGGAGACCGCTCCAGGCATCCAACCTCTGGCCCACAACCCAGGGACGGTGGCGGGATGGGCCGAAGGCCTCGCTATATCCGCCGCCCCCTGCTTGCAGGGGTGCACGGCGTGCTGGATGATTCAGTTTTGGTTTTGGTTTTGGTTCTTTTTCTAAAAGAACTCCCCAGTGGGCTTCGGCCCGTCCCGCCGGCCACCCGCGCGTTTCCCAAAATGCGTCTGTCAATGCCCAAAAACGGCCGTTTCGCTCGGGACATCCTCAACAAATCGCGAAGATGGCCCAAGATGGCCTCCAAGTCCGCCCGAGATGGTCCAAGACGGCCTCCAAAACGGCCCAAGAGAGTCCAAGACGGCCCAAGACGGCCCAAGAGGCCCCCCAGAGGCCTCCCAGACGGCCCAAGAGGCCTCCAAGAGGTCCTCCAGGAGAGTCCGAAGAGGCCAAAATCATTGATTTTCCCTTGGTTTTTGAAGGATTTTGGCATTTGCGCCTTTTCGGCTCTCCGACGGCTCAAGACGGCCCAAGAAGCCCCCAAGATCGCCCAAGAGGCCCCCAAGAGAGCCCCATGATGGCCCAAGTGGCCTCCAAGATGGCCCCTAGAGGGCCCCAAGAGGGCCCAAGAGGCCCAAGAGGCCTCCAACACGCCCAAGATGGCCTCCCAGACGCCCAAGATGGCCTCCAAGACGGCCCTGGAGCATTCCAAGCGGGCCCCAAGTCGGCCCATAGAGGCCCCCCAAACGGCTTCCGACGGCTTCAGACGTGCCAGGAACCCACCAAGATGGCCGAAGTTGGCTCGAAGCTGGCCCGAGACGGCCCAAAAAGCCCCAAAGATCGCCCAAAGCTTGCCCAAGAGGCCTCCAAGACGGCCAAGATGACCTTCAAGATGCCCACGTGTTCCCCGAAGGCTTTCCAAACCGATTCGGGGAACACGTGGTCCGATAGCTTGGCAGGTCTGGCCTCAACGTTCGGCCACATAGGCGCTTCCAAAAAGGCAGGGGGCGGCGGTGATTCGCCGTAGGCGTCTTCGATATAAATATATATACACATATATATATATATATGCATATATATATGTATATGTATATGTATATATATATATATATGTATATATGTATATGTATAACTATATACATATAAGGGAGAGAGAGAGAGAGAGAGAGAGAGAAAGACAAAGAGGGAGAGAGAGAGAGGGAGAGATGAACGGTAGATCACAACTCGTGGCAGCGACATGCGCCCCCCTCCCGCCATCGCATCCGCTGCCAAGATTGCGGCATCGGTGGCGACTGCCGCAGTCTGGCGAAAACAAGAGCAGTAGAGAAGAAAACATGCAACAGCACAATCACTTCAATCGTGGCCTGCCGTCCCCTTCCCGATTGCGATAAAATTTGGAATGACCTGGACAAAACCGATTTGACCACCACCGAATCAATGAAAGCGTGCGAACGACAAGGAATAAGAATACTCTGTTACTGCTAATCCACGGACCTCTCCCGGGATGTGTTCTGATCAGAACTGTGACACGAATCCAGCCGTGGCGACGAAGGTAGCGGTATCTTTCATCGACTGAGAACGCAACAACCCTCCTAGGCCGTTCTAACAGACTCTCTGTCGAACATGGCGACTAGAGAATGTATCGGCAGACCCCGTACCAAAGTACGACTGCCGCGCTGAAGCACGGTGCTCCTGAAGGATCACAATAAAACGACCACAAAAAAAGAGATCCACGACGTCAATTATCATTTTAAATGCACGAATTGGCGGGGATTCAACAGTATGGCACTCTCCGCCACGCGCCATCATGCGAAACAGGTGGGGGCTCAATGGATGAATGTCGAAACTCTTCCGTGGGCCTGCTACGAGCATTGACCCAAACTCATGGGCCAATGCGTACTCTATATAGCTGGTAGCGTGCTCGATGCAATACGCCCGTCCAGCTGGCGACTGCACTCTCGGGAGACAGAAGAACCCTGCTCGCTGGGGATTCCTCTCCCCAATCATGGGCGGCGTTGCTGAGCTGATCGTTCACGGGCCTACAGGATGCACTTCCACGTAACAGCGACTTAACGTTTTCAACTTGTTGGGCTCTGCTTCATTTCCCCGACCCTGCCTCTGCCCGAAAGGAGGCGACCTGTCAATTATCCGACGGTGCCAGCCCCGCATCAACTCGGACGCAACCGCCGCGCGGCGCCAAGATTCCACAGCGTTAGTCAGTTATGTAACCGAATTTGTATACAGCACAAAGGTTTGGCACGAGGGCTCTTGGAATTGATATCTCGCGCCAGAGATGCGGCTTCCATTTGAAACGCCCCAGAAACTCTACATGGGCACCACGCAAAGTAGAACATCTGGCAAGGCCAACCGTCGATGCTCATCGGCAGAGACTCGATCCGTGAAGAGCTCAGCAACAAACGAGATGGACAGGCACATTACACATTCCATGTGGCCGACTCCAGAAATCCAAATTCCAAACATTCGGACGTCTCGCTTTTGCTTCCACAAACTCGAACGCCGGAAATGGGCAAGGAACAGGTTAAAAACGGACAGCGGCCGCTGTCGGGCAGGCGGCCATTTGTCTCAAGTGAAACATGTTCGCGGCCACGCCGACAGCGAACCCTGTTCAAAATTAGCTGGAAATGCTGTCGGTCTTCGTACCCATTTTATTCGCGGAACGCTAGGTGCCCCTGGCCCAAGGTGCCCGCAGCTTTACGCTCCATCCTGGAGCCCCTCGGGCCCCCTGGGCCTCGTGAGGGGCTGCTCCGGAGGCCGTGGGGGGCTCCTCGGAAATCCTGGGGAGCACCCAGGGCCAGGGACACTTCTGTAGCAACACCCCTGAAAGAAAAAACACACACACACCACAAGCATAAACTTTTGGAGCTCCGCACGGATATCTTGGATCAACGCTGCACCCCCCTCGCCGGCGCGCGGAGGCGCCGCCGGGGGGGGGGCCCTGGCGCTGATCCAAGAAACCCGCGCGGAGCGCCAAGAGTTGAGGTTATGTGCTTTCTTCGTCGCTCTTCGGAAATCCTGGGGGGCACCTCGGGCCAGGGGCACTTCTGTAGCAACACCCCACCGCTCTCTCCGCACCCGTTCCTGGGGAGACCAAAAGATACTGCTACTGCTTCTCACGGGACCTATCCCAGAGTGCGTTTTGACCCAGATTTCGAGGCGAATCCAGCGGTGGCGACGAGACCCTCCCCAGGGGAGCGAAAGAGGGGAAAACGGGCGAAGGGTAGCAGCATGGGTACCCTTTCCTCCACTAAGCAGCAACACACCACCGCTCTCTCCGTACCCGTTCCGACCGCACCGGACGAGCTTCCGCGGGCCCTCCACGAGCTTGCCGCGGGCGGAGCAGATGATAACGCCGCTCTCTAACCTTTTGCGGGCCTAGCCCGGGAGAGCGAGGCGCGCCGAAGAGGCGAGGCCCTCCCTCGCCGCCTGGATTTAGGTCGGGCATGTCCTCCTACAGGCAAGTCTTGCAAGAAAAAAATAAGCTGACAAAATGCAATAATAGAGAAACGTAGCCCAAAACAGCGTCCCCAGACATGTTTTGATGTTTTGACTACGTTTGAATATTCCTCCTATAGAAAGACATGCCCGACTTAAGCCTGGATTTCTGGAGTCAGATTGCACTGCGCCTTGACCTTGCACGCACCCGCCGCCCTGGCAGCGCGAAGTCGGCCGGAAGCGGCCGCCGCAGTTTTGCTTCCCCCTCGTCGGCGGCGAGCGAGGGGGGGGAGTGAGAAGGAGAGGACCTTCTCAGAAGGCGGCGGGACTTCTCAGAAGCCCTCGCGCCTCCTGAGAAGTTCTCTGTGTCTTCGGGGGGAGGCTTAGAAAACTTCTCGGAAGGCGGGGGACTTCCGAGCCTTCTAAGAAGGCCTTCTCCTTCTCACCTCCCCCGGTCGCTCGCCGCCGACCTCGGTCTGGGTCAGGGACTGCGGCCCGCAGACCAGGGGGGGCCAGATCGATATTTATCGGAGGATGTGAGCAGGCCTCGGGTGCAGAAGCTTCCACGCTCATTGCCGAAACGTACGGAGAAAGAACAGCCGTATGCCTCCCCCCGTCTCCTGCGCAGAGGGGGAGGGTGCAGAGGAGGGGGGAGGGACCGGCAGCGGGGGACGTTCGTTCGACGCAATCCTCTCTGAAACTTCGCCTGAGGTGGAAAGCTTTCGCCATCCTGAGCGGGAGTGGTCCGGTAAGCTGCATGCGGCCGCGATAAGCCTACAAATTATGCGCAAGACAATCCTCTGCAGCCGCTTTCCATAGGTCCGCCTCACGCGACAGGGCCCTGCAGGTCAGTGACCTTCTGATGTGGCTGGGCGTTCTCAGGTTGGCGGCGGGCGACCGGGGGAAGTGAGAAGGACAAGGCCTTCAAGGCTTGGAAGTCCCCGGCCTTCTGAGAAGTTCTCTAAGCCTTCCCCCCGAAGACACAGAGAACTTCTCAGAAGGCGCGAGGGCTTCTGAGAAGTCCCGCCGCCTTCTGAGAAGGCCTTCTCCTTCTCACTTCCCCCCCTCGCCCGCCGCCGATCAGTGACCAGGGAGGAAGACTAAAGACCTGGGCCAAGGTTTCTGCCTCAGACGTCAAGATTTCGAGCAGAGCCGCGCCTGCCCCATACTGACGGTGGCTGCTGGACGGCAGCCTCTCCTGCGCGGGGGGGGGGGAGAGAATCATAGTTATGATGCCCTTCTTCAACTATCGATGGCCATATGTGCACTTCGGAATCAGAAAGCAGCTGGACGTCCCAGTCCACCCCAACTACTCACCGGTCGCTAGGCGCACCTGCACTTCGTAAGTCCGCACACGCGTAACTGAAGGCATTCACGTCACGTAATGATGGGCCTCTGAAGCTCAGAGCCAAGCCTGCGTTGCATACTTATGCCGACTGCACGTGTGAGTTTCTCCTGCAATTGAGAAATGACAGCGCTAATCTGTGCTTGGCGGTCAGAACCTGTGCCCACGAAGCAATTGCACTCTAACCGGGTCGGCAACAACCACCTCCAGAATGCACACGAGAAAATGAACTCATCGCTCTATCCCCATCTCCCTGAAACAAGTAGCAAGGCGTTAAGGCCCAGACGGCGTCCGAGATTCCGCGGAGGATCCTTACTGCCGCGAACGCATAATCGACTTGCACGACGGCGCTCCCGGGCAGGTCAGGAACAACATCGGTTGATCACACAGGTGCCTGTGTCCCAGCAGGCTGTGGACGATAGAAATCCACGCGGTCTGATGATCTGCAGGTTTGTCTGTCACGGGCGAGTTTGCAGACCCTGTTCGCTGCTCCAAAATGTGCTGCGCGACTCAATTCTCAACTATGGTACGCGAGCTTCCTGCATCCTTGTCTCAACAAGGGTGTATTCCGACCTGTGCTGAGGGTATTTGCGGAGGTCTCCTAAACGAGGCCAGAACAACTGGGGTCGGAGGACGCGCAACATTGCCAATGCATCGGCGACGTGTTCATTTCTAATCGTGTTCATTTCTAATTGTGCTCGGTTCTAATTGTTCCTGGCCCCCTAGTGGCCAGGAAGATGTCAAGGATAGAACAAGTAGAAATGACAGGATCCTGGCTCCCCAAAACATCAAAGAACTTTCGAATACTTAGAAATGAACAATGTGTACTCGCAAATGGCCTGGATCCGCCGCAGGGGATCTACGATAAATCCCATCCGAGCAGAAACGTGTTTTTCGGGCGTTTGCGAGTACGCACTTTGCGAGTAGTGGAACGCGCTCGGCGAGTATCGGCGATGCGGAGGAGGAGGAGGAGGAGGAGGAGGAGGAGGAGGAGGAGGGGGTCTCCCTCCCCCTCCAATTTATGGTGGTGGTGGTAAAACAGGCCCATCACTGAGTCTTCCCATCTGGGCTGGGGGGGCACTCGTGGGCCAGGGAGTCTGGGAGGCGCACCCCTCGGGGGACACGTGGCCTGCTCCAGGCACTCCGAGGATACCGCGGACGAGCTTTCTGGTGTCAGGTGCTTCGGGGGCGCGCAGACATGGGTTAGCGATCCGGGGATCTGGCGCGCGGTCGCCAAATCCATGGACCGGGGAAGGTGCCATCCACAAAGTGCGGCCTGTGCTGCCCCGCTCGGCGGCGGACATCTGCGATTTCCTCAGGAGACGGGACCCGTCGCTGATCCACGCCCCCTGGAGATCCATGTTTGCGATCGCCTGATGCTCCAGACACTCTGAGGATACCACGGATGAGATTCCTGGTGCCTGGTGCTGCTCCCGCCGAGTTCCCGCCAAGAGTCTGGCAGGAAGACCATGAGACGAGGCTTGGCGAACCCCTGGGCCTGCGGCCCATGGTTGGAACGAAGGAGATTCCTTGGAAGAGAGTTCGGACCGCGTCAGTCAGCATTACCTAGAGGATGCCCTTGCGACGAAACGCTGCTAGAACCCCCTGGCGGCCCACCTAAGAGGAAGGTCTCCCCTCGTGTAAGAGGGGGAGGAAGACGACGAGAACGACGACGTCCACGAGAACGACGACCTGCCGATCCAGATCTCCGATGTCGTAACCGCGGGAGGTGTAAAATAACGCCCCCCCCCCCAAGAATGGGAACACTGTTATTCTTCAAGGGGGCCTACCTAAGGATTGGGACACCCAACCATACCTGGACCCCGCTGGAAGCAGAAACTAACAAGGAAGGCCACGAAATAGAAGGAAAAGGCCACAACCCTCAGCAGCATTGGGTGCCACCGCTTAGGGGGACGTCCATCCGCAAGTGGCACTTGGCCTGAAGAATTCTTAAGGCCGTCGTGCGGGCACGACCGGACTCCTAGACGACTGGGCTGAGGAAGCGGAGAAAGGAGGGAGACGACGAGAACGACGACATGGACGACAACGACGACCTGCCGATCCAGAATTCCGATGTCGGGTAACCGAGAGACGTGTTTAAAACCGTCCCTCCCCATTGATGGGAACAACTGTACTTCTGAGGAGGCTTGTGGAATGATTGGGGCACCGAGCACGAGACCAACGAGAACCACGACATGGACCCCACGATATCTGCGTGGGCCCCCCAGAAGTCCCAGCCTTCCGTCCCGAGGGCAGACCTGCCGTCCCGAGCACCGCCTCCCGCTGTGGCCCTGCAGGCCCCGACACCGCCCCATCCAAGCGGCCGGGCCAGCCGGCCGGCCGCGGCGACAACGACGACGACGCACAGGGCAAACGAACAATGGCATGAACAGAAAAACTAGGGAATCGATCAATGACATGACGATCAACACGAGGTCTCTAGGGAAACGAACAACAATGACATGAACAGAAAACTAGGGAAACGAACAATGGCATGACGAACAACACGAGGTCTCTGGGGAAACGGACAATGACATGAACAGAACAACTCGGAGGTCCGCGCGTCTTCCTCGGATCAACGCTGGACCCCCTCTGGCGGCGCCTCAGGCGCCACCCCTGGCGCGCTCCGCGCGCCAGAGAGGGGGGTCCAGCGCCGATCCGAGAAATCCGCGCGGACCTCCGAGTTCTTAATGCTCATGTCATTCGTCGTTCCCCCAGTGTCGCCGGCGGCGGCGCGGGCGCCCTCCTCCCCAGCAGGCGACCACGAGCCGCCGCGCCGCCGCCAAGTCACGGGGCCGTCGGGATGTGCACTGCCGCCGCGGCGCAGGGCTCCGCCGCCCACAAGGCGGGGGGGCCGCGAGGGGCCAGCCTCTGGGCAGGCTGGGCGGCAATCGCGAGGAGAGCGCGTCTTGATCGCTTTGCGACATAGCCATCGTGCTACGCAGAGGGCACTGGGCAAGGAAGCCATGGGTAAGGAATCCAGGGTCTGGCAGCCAGTGGAACTTCAATTGAGGCGTGGCCATGGGTATCACCGCCGCCCTTATCAGATCAGGAATCCTCCACGGTCTGAATGAAGCCTCCTGGGCACGTTCCTTCACCATCTTCCCCACCGTACGAAGCAGGGCGCTCAATAATGGGGGAGCAAACGATGCCAACGACGGGATCCAATCCACGAGGAACTGCTGAAAAAGCACCATACCTTCGTACAAAAGCGAAGGAGAAACACACGGACGGGCTCCCGACGTCGGCGTGTCGTTGATACTCCGACTCTCCCGAAATAAGGAACGGATGGTCTTTTTTCTGGCCACGGGTGGGCCTCGGCCACGAACAGGTTCCCCGCCGAAGGCCCCGACAACCAGATCACCTCGGGAGCCGCAAGTCTGACAATTAACAGATATCGCCTGGGCAAAACGTCCTGTAGTGAAAGCTGCCAGGGGCACTCCACGAGCGCACGTCACCGCATTCCAAGTGGACCCAGCGGGTCGACATTCAAACACAACAGAACGTGTCTGGCGAAACGCACTTCGAATTGCAAAGCCGACTGTGGACAGCACCAGTACACTCGAAAGCCAATGTCGAGTGAACTAGTGCATATTTCATCAGTCGTCTTGTCTGGGCGGGCGTTCTCTCACTGCCCGACAAGTGTTCCTTGTTTCAGCGTCTGGGCTGTATCAGAACGCTTGTGGGCAATTCGCGCTAACTCCCATTACCGGGTCCGCGGCCCACTGGAAACCTCTGGGCCTCCGAAGTCTGGTGACCTCTGGCAACATCTCCTCTTGTCTCCCGACCTCTTGGGACCTTCCGTGACCTTCAGACGACGTCGGTCTTCGTCGTCGTCGTCGTCGTCGCCATCGTCATCGCCGCCGGCGTCTTGAACATCTGAAGCGCCGAGACGCCGCCCGGCCGCCCCCGTGTGGTACACACTTCGTCCGATTCGCGTGCCCGGTCTCGATCTCCTCAGAGAATTGTTATCATCCTCCTCCCCAGACCCCCGAGCTCATGATTTTTCCATGACTTCCACCACCAAAAGTCTCGACCCATTCCCCGGGACCCGTTGTTCATCCTGAGTCGGTCTTTGGACGGTCCCCAGACCAGGCGAGGAGCCCCAGAAGCCAACGATAGCGAAGAACCTGCCGTCGTGATTACCTCAGGACTCGAGGGGGTCTGGGTCCTCCTCCCCCTCTCACTCCCGAGTGGCCTTCCGGATCGCCCAGGCGCGCACAATCCCCGGCGGGTCCCTGGCCGCGTCGGCGAGGACCCTTGCTTCTGAGCCGAGGGTGTCGCCGGAGCCAACAGGGCGTTCGCTGCTGTCGCCATAGCTGCCGCAGCTGTCGCAACGACTCGCGACCGTGGACACGACACCACTGTCGGTGGTTCAAGTACGGAGTCCAGAGGGATTGGGTCCCAAGGACGAGGTGCCTCAAACAATGCAGACACACCCTTGGGTCCCTTCCTACCCATAGGGCCCCATCCCTGGGAACAAACGACACTGGTCATGCGTCTGTCGTCGCAAGATTGCCGCTTCTGCCAGTGCGCGCTGCAAGGCTAATCTGCTGATGTGGCTACTGCTGGTGCCAACATTGTCGCCATTGGCACCTTAGCAATCGCCGTTGCAATCGTTGCCGCCACTGCTGCCGTCCTCGCCTTCTGCCACCGCTGCTGCCACCCTCTCCCGATATGGCAACCCGGCGATTTTGAAATCGCGGATCCTGCGATAAGATGGGTCTCTTCCTCGGGTGCGCACGGCGACGCGCGACCCAAACGATGTGCTACTGTCTTATTTTGATGCCGTCCTAAACATGTCTGTCATGGATTGGTTGTTTTCGCTCACGCGCACCGTGCGCCGCACCAAGTTCTCTTTGTTCGGTTCTGTCTTGCTCCTGCCATACGCACAACGTGCCCTGTACGGCTTCTCCTACTCCCCCTCCCCTCCCCCTCCCCAATCCTCCTCCTTGTGATTTCCCCCCTCCTCCTCCTCCATCCAATTCTCATATAAACGAAGCATCCCTGTCGCACCCCAGGCTTGTCCGTAAGGCGGGTCGGGCGTTCTGTCTAAGACTTCCCCATCCTCTACCATCCTGGAGCCTCAGAGTTGAAGCGGGATCACGGACGTAGAGGGCGTCCGAAAAGTGTGAAGCTGATATTTTCACAAATGGAGGGCGGCCCGTTCTCATCATGTGGCTCTCGCTTTGGCGCCGCGCACGTGCGCCTAACGGTTTGCCACAGCCCAAATGGATGCAGGGTGGGCCATTCTCAAAATGTGGCTCTCGCCTAAGCGCCGCGCACACTTGCCCTCGCACTGTGCAGCAGTTTCACGGATGGGGAGCGGGCCTTTTTCAAAATGTGGCTCTCGCCTGAGCGCTGCGCGCATGCATCCGAAATATGGCAACAACTTCACGGGTGGAGGGGCGGCCGTAATCAAAGTGTGGCTCTCGCCTCAGCCTTAGATGATCTTAAAAACGCTGGGGACGTTTTTTTTTCGTTTTGGAGATCGACGTTTTGTTTTTCTGTGTTGGGAGCATTTTTTTCTGTTTTGGATTTGCGCCTTGCCGTTTTCGGTTCGTTTTGCGATCCGTTTTTTAATCGTTTTCACCTGCCGTTTTCTGTACGTTTTCGTCGCCGTTTTTGCGAACCTCTCAAAGCCCGTGCCGTTTTTTTTCTGTGTTGGGTCTCCGTTTTGTGTGCGTTTTCGCCCGCCGTTTTTGTTACGTTTTGGTCCTGGTCACATCGTTTTGGGCACGTTTTGCGGTACCGTTTTTGTTCTGGTTTGGTCGACCGCAACGCCAGAAATTGAAAACGGAAAAACAACGCCCCCAGCGTTTTTAAGAACAACCAAGGCCTCAGCTCCGCGATGCGCAAATGTGCCTCGAACGTTCACACCAGTTTCACAGGTGGGAGGGCGGGCCGTTGTTCAGAATGTGACTCTCGCCTTATCGGGAGCGGCCAAGAGGGGGGTGTCCAAGAGGGGGGGGTGCAAATCATGACTGGCGGCATGTGCGCGGCACAGCGGGGGAGCCAGGGACGTCATGAAATGAGAAGAGGCGCCATGAAATCTGGGGAGATGTCATGGCCCCCGCCATGTCCACCCCCCCCTAGTCGTAAGTCGGGCCTGTTCCCCTACAGGGGGATTTTCGACGAACAATTAAAAATACACCAAAAATAATACACAAATCACTAGTCATCACACCCCTCTTTGCCGCCCCCGACCTCAGCGCCGCGCACATTGGCCTTATAGTTTGCAGCATGTTCGCAGACGGAGGGCGGTGCCTTTTCAACATCGTGCTCTTGCCTCAGCGCCCCGCGCAATGGCCTTTCAAAGCGTGCACCCGCTTCCACACATGAGACGGTGGGAATCCCAAGAACTTACCAGCCTGGAACACATCCCTATCCCTATGCTGGGCATCGCCTTATCACGATGCCAGTCTTGGGGATTCCTCAGGTTTTCAGGGCGCGTCCCTAAGATTGTCATCGCCTTTTGGTGTGTCAATCTTAGGAATAGGGATAAGTTCGAGGCTGGTGAAAGAATTGCCTTCTGACGCGATTTAGGATAGACAGGACGCAACAACTACATTGGTTTGCTGTGTCGAAGCTCCAAGAATACTGTTCTGGCACGTTCCCGGATTGCCAGGACGCACCAGTCATATTGATTAGCGGCGCTGGAATCCCAAGAATTGTGTTTTTGGAGCAATTGGAGATTCTCCAACGGTTGCCTTCCAACGGGGCACTTCCCGCAATTAAAATGAATTCATCTAGAGACCTGTGGAGGGGGAACTTGGAGGGAAGGTGTATTGCAACATCGTGGATGCGCTTTGAGTTTACACTGGTTCTCCTTCTCCTGCTCTCCTCCACCTCTTCCCTCTCCTAATCATCTCCCTCCTACTTCTCCTCCTCCTCCTCCTCCTCCCTCTTTCTCCTCCCTCTCACGCACCTCCTCCTTCCACAACTCCTCCTCCGAGTCATGTTCCTCCTCCCTCTATCCCTCCTCCTTCTCCTGGTCTTCCTTCTCCTGATCCCCCTTCTCCTCCTCCTCCCCCTCTCCCTTCTCCTCCTCTGCCCCCTCCTCCACCAAATCCTTCTCCTCCACCTTCTCGTCCTCCTCCCCCTCATACCATGCGCGATTGCGATCCAGTTCAGCTCTTCGATGGGAGCAATGCGCGGGCACGCTCCAGCGCATTTCCAAGGGGCGTGCAGTGAGGGGCTGCTGTCAGCTGGAAAATGCCACACTGAGCCAGAGGCCCGCAGCTGGCCATCCACGGATCAGTGAGCTTCGAATCTACAATTTGGATCGGAGCGGAACGCGCGTCGGATCGGGCTGCATCAGCACGGAATCGAAATCGAATCCGATCGGTTGCGCCAAAATGCATAACAAAACCATGCACGCATCGGGCCGCACTAGATCGTCGGGAGATCGGAAAAGTATCGGATCGGGCCGACATCGATACCGAGTCGGACCGATCGGGGCGAAATGGACCCTGCCTTCCGGAACGAGGGCACAGTGGCGGCGTGGAAACTCAGCGCGGCGGCAAACATGGCGGCCCTTCACAGCGGCACAGCGCACGCATTCACAACTGTCCGTCCCGAACTTGCCAACATTCAAATGGTCCGTGTTAGCCAGAAATCCCGGCTGCGATGGAAGATTCGTTTTGCTGCGCGCGATGCTGCTGCGCAATCCGTGGAATGCTTCACGCACGTTGCCACATGCTCGTCGCTTCCTCACGACAAACACGATGCACTCGCGCGCTCTATGCCATGCCCGGCACGGGTCCTGAAGGAAACGGGTCCTGGACCCTGGGGTCCTCTGAAACATCAACTTTTCATCCTGACTAAATTTTAAACGGCTCCGGGGCCCGTGGAGGGCCCCATCGGGCTCAAAACGGAACACATTTCCAGGGCCCCTTTCCCTTAGGACCCTTTACTTTATGGCGAGCGATTCGGATGCGATCGACTCTGCAGCGATTCCGATGCTGATGGGGAAAGCGGAGGGTGCCGATACCGCTAGTCCCCCGACCCCTTCCGGGCTGAGTTCCAGAATTTCGTAGCGAATCCACTGGTGGCGACGAGGGCCGCCCAGGAGGCCCCCGAACAGGAAAAACGATGGAGAGGAAGGGCAGCACCATGGGCACCTCTTCCCCCTGAGCAGCGTGGTGCGCGCCACTTCGCTGCTCGAGCTGCGCGGGGGCGCTGCGGGCGGGGGGGGCGCGCGGGCGCAGGCGGGCGCGGACTCCGCCATGGCCCGGATGGCCTCCTCCCTCGGGCGCGGGGGCACCTTGCCCGGGTCGCTCCGGGACACCTGCGGGCGCGAGCGCGCCGAGCGTCGCGAAGGAGCCACGACGGTTTTTAGCGGCGCGCGCAACGGGAGGCAGAGGGAGGGGGGAAGGCTTCTTCGAAGGAGGCCCCTTCTTAGAAAGCGCCGACCTTACACCTATATCTAAGGCCCGCGCCTCCTAAGAAGCAGCCTCCTTCCAATAAGCCTTCCCCCTCCCCCTGCCTCCCTCTGCGCATGGCCGAAGTGCTTGTTGTACTACTCCGGTCGGACGTCCGTACAAGTGCCAAAAGCCTGTGAAACCATCGTTTTGTGCGAATGTAACGCGTGGCGCCGCCTGGCTGGAAATGTAAAAAGAATCGCTGCCCGCGTGCCGGTGGCGCCCCTGTCGCCGTGGCCTCTGCAAAGCGTGCAGGGTGTAGCCCCACGGGCGGCACCTGCGCGCGGGCGGCGAATTGTGCGGCGCGCAGGGCAGCGGCATGTGCCACATGGGCCCGATGGAGTGCGCAAGCCGAAGGGAGGAGTAGGAGGAGGAGGAGGAGGAGGAGGAGGAGGAGGAGGAGGAGAAGGAGGAGGAGGAGAAGGAGGAGGAGGAGGGGGAGGAGGAAGAGGAGGAGGAGGAGGGGACGCAAGATCCAGATGAGCCATACCCTCCGCACGGGCCGCATGGGATGCGGGGGCCGCAAGGCCCTCCTGGAAGCCAGCCCCCCGTTGCCACTCTGCACCGCATCGGCCAGCCGAGCAGCCCGGGGAGTGCACAGCCGACCAGGCCAGCCAACCAACCAACCAAGCAACCAACCAACCAACTAAATCCCAATGTGTACAGGAAAGAGAACTATGCACATACACCGATTCTGGCCAGGCCCACCCTGAGCCCAGGATCGGTGCATACGCCGTCTACCTTGGCCAGGAAGGTATATGCACCGATCCTGGGAAAAGGATGGGCCTTGCCAGGATCGGTGCATGTGTATAGTTCTCTTCGCCCGAAATGTGCACGTACTTCTCTTGGCACGCCCGCTGTGAGTGTCTCTGAGTGGGAGCGTATTAGCCTGTGGCAACTGAGCGCTCCCAAGCGGCACCACTTTGGGGTGCCCGAGTGGAACCTCTGCTACACCGCAATGATAACAGGGTTCCGAAAAGAAAGAGCCCGTGGGTGCCGGAACCACGGGCTCTTTCTCCCGAGACGTCCCCACGTCTCTTTGGACGGACTTTCGGACATTGTATGGAAGTTCGGCCCGCATAACACCGATGTTCGGCCTCCACGGGTCCTCCAAACCTCCAGGAAATGTGACGACGATCCCGGGTACCCGTCGGTCGGAAGAGGTGGGCATGAACATGAAGCAGGAAGGCATTGAAAGTAGATTGGGTCTCCGAGGGAAGAGGGAAAACCGTTCGATCATTGAAGTAGGAAAGCGCCTAACATATATTGGGATATAGGACCCCAAGGATACCAGCTTACAACGAGCGGCGAGCCAAGAGTCCAGACCTCTAGGGGGCCTCGCTGTCAGAAGACACGTCGTCGGATGTCTGGTCGGGCTGGCGCCGACGGGCACGCAGTGACGACAACTGGAGGTCCACACTTTGTGAAGCAAGCGGGAGGTGTTGGAAAAGCCACAACATCAAATGCCCTGGTCTTCTTCTCTCCTGCTTCCCGCCCCTTCTCTGCCCATCCTCCTGCTCCTCGTCCTCCTCAACCTCCTCCTCCCCTCTCCTGCTCCCCACACTTCTTCATTCCTCCATATTCCCATGAGGGAAGCGGACACTGATGTGTGCCCAGGCGCTCTGCCAGCTGTGACCGACGAATGAAAGGGAAACAGGCCCCAATTTCAGCCGGACGGATCAGAAGATTGCACCCCCACTCACGACGTGGTCCTTCTGTGGGAGTCGAAGGTCAGCTATGACAAGCATCCACCGATAGAGAAAAATCAACGCCATGGGAAGGGATGGGAGGGAGGGATAGGATGGCAGATGAGGCTCGAGAGCACCTAGCTTGCCTCTTCTCCCTCTCTTCCTCCCCCCACCTCTCCTCCTCCTCCTGCTCCACATCCTCCTTCTCCTCCTCCTCCTCCTCCTCCTCCTTCTCCTCCTCCTCCTCTTTCTCCCTCTTCCCCCCGCCCCTACTCCCCCTGTCCTCTCCCCCCCCTCCTCCCCTCTCCTCTCCTCTCCACCACCTCCTGCCTCCACCTCCTCTTTGCGCTGGGCGAACTGAAGGTACTGGCCTGTAGCTTGCGCGCGATCAAATCCAACCTAGAAATGTGTCACACAAACTGAGGCCACTGCCAGTGCGGGCGCAAGTCGGGCCGGAAGATATGTTAAAAGACTGAGTGCCCAGAGGGCGAGAGTCGCGAAGCAGGCAAACGATGGGAGGGGAGGGAAACATACGCACAACATACGTGAACATGACATACAAGGAGGGAGCCGAGCACGAGAGATCGAACTGCACGTGCTAACCATTCGCTTAAGCAAATGAAGCGCGCCTGCGTAATGCTCCACGTTGCTCCCTGCACCTCCTGCACCTCCTCCCTCTCCTCTCCACCTTGCACCCTGCTTGACCTCTCCTCTGCCTCCTCCTGCTCGATGTCTCCTGTTCGACCTCGCCTCCTGCCCCATCCCGCTCGACGTGGATCCTTGCAGCTTCTCCACCTCCTGCCCCTCCTCTCCACCTCCCCCCCCTCCTCTCCGCCTCTCCTCCTGCCGAGGAGGCCGTCGCGCGTACCCCCGCGCGGGCGGCGGGGGCGCGCGAGATTCGAGCGGCGGGCGCGCCCAGACAAAGAGTGCCAGGGACGCCTTGGTGCCCGCGGGGGGGGGGGGGGGGGGAAGAGTGGTGGGGAAGAGCACGAGGAACAGGGACTGACAAGGGTGAGAGGTGGGGGGGGGAACAGGGAAGGAAGCGACAGGGGTGAGACATGGGAGAGGGGTGGGTGGGACGGGGGAGGGCGAGAGGAACAAAGGAACAAGGAACAACAGTGGATGGGGTGAAGGGAGGGATGGGGGAGGAAGGAGTGAAGAACTGAGGAAGTGGGAAAAAGGAAGGACGAGGATGAAAAGGAGGAGGAGAAGGAGAAGACAGGTCGGGAAAGAAGGAAAAGGGAGGCAAGGGGAAGCCGCCACCACTACTCACCCCCAGGATCGATCACATGGCCCCGCACATTCCCAAGGCAGACCGAACCACAAGTAAGCGAATGCAAACCAAAGCCAAACAGAGCTCAGAGGAGGAGGAGGAGGAGGAGGGGGAGGAAGACCAGGAGGAAGAGGAGGAGAAGACGAGGAGGACGAGGACGATGAGGAGGAAGACGAGGAGACGAAGGTAGGACGCAGGAGAGTTCAAGAACCAACCACGCCGACTGGCTTTAAACATCTAAGCGACAACATTCCGCATCGTGAGGAAGTGGGGACGCGCCTGGCCCAGTGGGTCCAGATTGGCCGCTGATTCCCCCCTCGTGGACGGCCGACGACGACCAGCAAGAAATGGGATAATGTGGAGAAGGCACTGGCTCGCGCCAAGGTGAGCAATTGCCTGCCTCCATATATGCCGGTTGGCACGCATGAAGGACAGGACGCCGTACTCTGAGGAACAGTACGTGTAGCCTGAGAAGCAGACGTGCGCACCCACGGACTCGCAAATGTAGGCACTGTGAAGTCGAGGAAGAAGCACCACGAGACGGACGCGTAACGAAGATCGAATAACAAACGGTTCGCCGAAGAGGAACAGACCGCGGTAGCTCAACCCCTGGATCTGTTAGCTCAACCCCGCCCTCATGCAGTGCAAATGCCCTGGCTGGTAACTCCAATGGCCCATGAGACGGCCGCGTAGCGAAGATCGAAGAACCTGCAGCTCGCCGAAGAGAAGCATAATGAGTTAGCTCACCCCCCGGATCAATTAGCTCACCCCCGCCCTCATGCATTGCAATGCTGTGGATGACGATTCCAGTGGCCCATATTCCTTGCATCCCTTTGACGTTGACTACAATTGCACGTCTTCGTTGCATGCTCTATCGAAACCGCTCCAAGTGTGAATGTCGTAGCAATTGCCGAAGTATATATGGCATCAGTTTGCAGGAGCTGCCGGGGAGAGGAGGGCTCTCTTCTGCGGGCTGGAGATTGGATTGGCTGGAGCCAAAAGGACAAGGAGGATCACAAGTAGCCACCTGGGAGCACGCATACGCTGCCACCCTCGCAGTCGCAGCAAACATCGAGGCCGACATCTGCGATCCACATGTGTAATGTGGCACCCGATGACGACAAGGCAATCGGAGTCCGGTACCAGGAGCTGCTGCGCCTGACCCCGCAGAGCATGACATCGGCGAGGAGGAAGCCGCCTACGCCGACGGCGCACCCGCCGACGAAGCACGCGCCGAAGTCCAGTCGACCACTCCAGCGGGCCCACGCGCTCAGCGTGGCCACCAGCGTCGGCGGGGTCGTCGGCGAGGGACACAGCTGCTGCACATCAGGGGTCCTAGGCGCCAGACCCACCATCGCGAGACTCGAGTCGCTGGCCGCGTCGCAGTCGCAGTCCTCCTCGGGGTCGGGGCACAGCCGACGGGTGAGAATTGTCAATGGCGCGAACGGAAGTCCCTTAGCAAGCGCGCCAACAATCTCCGTCTCCGCGGAGGGAGGGCCAGGGTCGCAGCACGGATCTGACAGCTCGGCGTCGCCAGCAGTTGACCGCGCGCCGGGCGGAGACGTCGCGCGCGGCGCCCCCGACTACTAGATCGCCGACGCCGAAGCCGACGAGGTGGAAGAAGTCGTCGTGCTTTTCCTTCGGCAGCAGCGCCAAGTGCGAAGTCCGCGCAAGCCGCAGCGCGCGGGCACAGGCCGGGGCACGGATGACAGTGTCGACAGGGGACAGAGGCCAGTCCGCGCGCGTCTTGGGCGCGCGGCACACGCTGCAGGCAGCCGTCTCCATCGACGACGGCTGGAGGGGCCAGCGCGCCATCGCGGGCAGCGGGTCGGGCCTGGCCAGGGCGCGTCGCAACGCGCGATGCATCGGTCGGCAGCAGGCGCAGCGCCGCAGCGCGCCGGGTGCAGCGCCGCCGAAGGCGCAAGCCCACTGGCCAAACGGGTGGATGATGCGCGCGGAGGCCATCCAAGCGCCCGCCCAGGTGCGGGAAGAAGCCCACGCCCACGAGCATGCACATCGCTTCAGAAAGGTCGCCAGGGCGTCTCAGTCGATGCCCCCCATCGCGACGCGATGACCCGGCAGCAGCTTGCGCAAGCGAAAGCAGCGCAATCAGCGGGCACTGCTTCACAGCCAGAGAGCGCATCGCCAGATGAGCTGCGCGACGGCGCCGAGCGCGCCCGCCAGGATGGGGGGCCAGCGCGGCGGCTGCCAATCGCGATCATGGGCGCCACCTGGCCAGACGAGGGGGCGCAACGGCGGCAGCGGCCAAGGTCTCGACCGCCGCAGGGGTTTTCCAGACGGGCGGGTTGGGGTTGCCCTAGGCGAACATATCATGGGGGTGCCGTTCAGGATGGCGCAGAGCATGGTGCCGAAGTTAAGCGAACACCCGCGTGCGCTGCCGCATTCAGGCGAGCTGCATCCAAGAATCGAGCGCGCACGCGCCAAGGGGGGCACGGAAGACCTGTGCCAGAACAGACAGTTCGAGCCGAAGCAGCTCTGGATGTAGCCGACAGAAGTGGGCAATGTAGGACAACGTGCTGACCGCCCTCGCACTGTAGGGAATTGACGACGCACTGGCGGGCGTGGCGCCGTGCCCGATGGCAGAAGGCCGCAATCCGGGGTTCGCGACGGGTTCGGCTCAATTCCGCTCGGCGGTGGCAGCGGGGACTAACCAGAGGCCCAGGCAGAGCCACTCGGGGGCCACCTCGAACATGCCCCAGGACGGCGTGGCAGCAGCATGGGCGGCCTGCGCGCGGCCGTGGAGTGGAGCCACTCAATCAGTGAACGGGCCAGACAATGGGGCGACCTTGCCTCTAGCAATCTTGAGGAGCAAATTGGCTAAGGCACAGGCTGAACACGTCGCGGGAAACACATGCTTGAGATGACGCGCAGAAGCAGGGGCCCCTCGCAGGCCCGAGCCATGCCGCACCACCGAATCTGGATGCAGTCCGAGAGGTCCCACGAAAACATCGCGGCGCTCAAGGCGTATAAGGGGGCCCGACAACGCGCGCCCCTGGATCGCGCCACTCCTAAACCAATCCAGCCTCGCGAAGCTCCCGGGGGGGCTGGCGAGGCCCTCGATTGCAGCGTAAAGGAAGATGGGGAAGCTCTGGAAAGCGCGCGCGGGGTCCAGGGCCTGGGCCACGAAAGCAAGCAACTGTTGCTTCAACGACGGAACGCCTAGCCGAAGTCCAGGCAACACAAGGCGGGGGGGCCCGACGGCGCGCGCGGGGTGGCGGACAGCGCCCTCGCCGAGCTGTCCAACTCCAGGATGCCAAGCCCGAAGTCGCGCTTCGGCGCCGACCCCCGCGGGCAGGGCTGGGCTCCAACGCAATGCGAATCGAAACATTGACCGCCGTCGAGAAGACCTCGACGTCCGAGTTTCGAGGCCCCGCAGCCCGGACTTTCCGAGGGCGCCTCGGGCAAGGTCCCTCCCTGAGCTCGGAGCCGAGAATCGCCTTCGGCTGGAAAGCCCGGACCGTCGCACTCGCGTCGTCGCGCGCTAGCCCGAGAGGAGCCAATCGAGCGCATTAATCAAGATTCACTCGCCGCAGCGACGGGCTTGCCGCGCGGCGCGGGGCAAGCCGTCAACCCCGGGCGCCGGCCCCCGAGCGCGTCGGAAGACGCGACGGGGAGAGCGCGCAGGGTAGGTGGAGGAAGAAGACAATGCGCGGCAGACGGCCGCCAGCGACGAGGGCAATCCGCAGCGGCAGCAGCGCCGCAACTTTTGCGAGCGAGGACGGGTTGCCATTTGCCCCCAGGGACCGCGAGCATGTCAGCGGGGTCCGAGATGAGGTTATCAGACGAGCCCCCGACGCTGGAAAGGGCCAGACGCTCGCCGGAAAGAGGCCAGAGACTGCGGGGCGGGAAAATGACCACAACCACTGCTTTGTTTCTGCGGGCTGGAATGGAAGGCGGCAGCACAGGAAAAGCAATCGCCGCGGTCGTTTTCGCGCCCCGCAGAGACGAGCGCGCCGTCCAAGGCCACGCATTTGCCGACTAACTTTCGGAGGTGGAACCCTCGGCCCCCTGCCCCGCCGACAACCCCGACCGCTGGGGCTCGGCAGCCCCCGAGCTGGCGCGGCGCAACCGCCGCCGGAAGGTCGGGGGGTGGATGGGCGTGGATGGGCGAGACAAGGGCCAAGTCGGGCCTGCCCCCCATGCAGGGGGATTTTCGACGAAGAATTAAGAACAACACCGAAAATAATCAAACAATAATCCAAAAATAATCCGGGAACTATTTTCTGAATATGCGCTGGCCTTTGTGGTGTATGTTTGGGGTATCTTTTATGTTTCGCCCAGAAACCCAGCGCGGGGGACCCGCCCGACATGAGACGGGGGCGCCCTGAACGCCTGAGAAGTCCTCGACCAAAGGACGCGGCCCCAGAAGGCGATGGGCGAGCCGAACATTGCCGCCAGACCGCTCGGGCGATCGACTTCGAGACCTGTTGCAGCGCTCCGGGGTGCAAGGGCCGCGGCCCGAAATGGGGGCCCCGCGTCTCCTGGCCGGCGACTCGCGGCAAGCACCTCTGATGCGCCAGCTGGAACGGCGGCGACGTCGTGGCCCACGGGGCCCAGTCGATCAACCCTTGAAGCCGAGAAACATAATAAGCGTCCTGGCACGCGCGTCTAGGCGCGAGCCGCTGCCCAGGCGGGCGAGAGGAAC